ATATATATAAGAATTTTAGAATAGTTTATTAAAAGCAAATCAGTTTTGTTAAAAAGATGTTAGAAAGTTGGGGTTTTACACACATACCATAAAATTCTTATATATTTATATATCTAACACCTAGCTTTATATTTATTTATATAAAACCCAATCATTTATGTCACATAAAAAATACTACTAATCTTAATATTTTTATTTTGAAATATTTATTTTCATGCATACATTTTTCACATAGATACATACATACATATATACATACATATACATAAAGATACTAACATACATAAATACATGCATGCACACATACATACATAAATGTGTGTGTTTGTGTGCGCATATACATACATACATACATATATATACTCATACACAAGATATCAAGATAAATTTAATACCTCATAAAGGCCTCCTTTTACAGGTACACCAACTCTCTCCTCTTCAACAACATATAATAATGTTTGGATGTAAACCACCTAAAAATTTTTTACCTTCATAAAATATACTAACATGGTTGTATTTGATCAATGATGAAAAAATCATTCATTTGAATGTGGCTTGCATGGTTGAAAGACTAGATGAAAATATAGTTGGGAGTGGCTTTAATGTATACTCGATTATGCTCACTAATACTAGCCTTCAATCTCCATGTTCTTGAGTGTTATTATAGAAAGGTCTGAAATCATAAACTTATGATGTTTCTTGGATTGTTTATACCTTTAGATGTCAATTCCTATAATTTATTAATCCTTTCCAAGCACCTTTGGATCATATGCAACTTGAAAAATAACCAATTGTTTATATTACATCAACTTCCCTTATTTTCGCACTTTATTTAATTTCTAAAATTAGTTGTTAACAAATGCTCAAATTATCTTATGGTATATGCTGTAATTCATTGTCCTCGTTATTGTTACCATTGTAGATTCTTCCACTGAAAGACAAAAGGAAGATTGTAAGTTGAAACCTCCTGACTAGTTTTTAATTCAAAGATTTAATGTGCAACTATTATCACTGAAGCATCAATTAGGTGATCAAGAAAAGCTTTTCATTTCCATATTGCATTTTATTAATTTCATTGCAAACCACAACTATCAGGAG